CTGGCTCCAGATGGAACTTCAGTCTGTTGCTTCTTCAGTGCTGACGGTGCAGGTTCTTCTCAGGCACACGCAGGGGGTTGGGGCAGATTTAGCTAAACAGGTGAGTCTGGCTGCCCTCGGTGTAATAGTGACTCTCAGAGCCTCCATGTTCAGACATCGGCTCCATGGTGACATGGAGCTGATGTCTGAACATCTATAGAGGATCATCTATCAAGTTATGGGCAAGAATTTTTTTTCCCAACATAAACTTGTTTCTGAATGAAAAAGTGGGTCTGATGTGGAAGTTAGAGCTTCTCTCTGAGGGAGAGCCCAGCCACCCGGTGGAGGAAACCCATCTGGGCCGCTTGTATCCATGACCTGGTTCTCTCTGCCGTGACCCAAAGCTCATGATGATGGTCGGAACGTAGATCGACTGATAAATCGAGAGCTTCGCTTTCTGGCTCGGCTCTCTTCACCAGGACGGACCGGTCCGGCGCCGGTCCGCCTGTCGGTCTCCCGCTCCCTCCTTCCCTCATTCATGGACCAGATACCTCAGTCTAATAATTCTACATCTCTGAGGTGCTAACATAGAAAACTGACAGAGTTAACCCCTCTCAGCCTTGGCTCTTTAAAAGTCTGCAGCCAAGTTGCTATGGAGTTTAACAGACATTATTAAGGCTTATTTAGTAAAATAGCAGCAAATTAGGAAATTTCATAACTTCATAACCAGAGACTTTCTCTCCTCTGGTCTGTTTCACAGCTTCAGTCTCAGATCAACTCCGCGCAGAACCAGAAACATGGACTATCTTAGCTTTGCATTGCCCCACGTGATGACAGTGATATAGAAAAATCTGATTCAATATTAGACTATTGGTTCATATGGGTTGTTGTGTTTGTGCCGCTTTTCAAACTTTGAGCCTCTCCAAAGGTCTGCACGGCTCAAGTTCTTCCGGACCAACAGAACCAATCAGTCATCCATCAGAACCGGTGAGCAGCACAGAATACGCTCCGGATCAGCTCCTGAATGTCTGGCGGGGCCCCTGAAACACATTCAGACATTCGGGGGCCCTGAGGATCTGAACCAGCTGTCATCAAAACTTTAGAGAACCGTTAAGCTGACGTCACTTCCTGTCCTGTCGGATCCGACTCCTTTGGGTTCTGATCCAGTGATCGGTCCCTGGTTGGGTCAGACATCTGGTTCTGGTCCAGAGGCCTCAACAGAACCTCCAGAACCCCACCCCACCCCGCTCCTTCCGAACTTACCGGAATGTTAGCTGTTAGCGGCTAGCAGAGCGCTCCGGATCAAACTGAGGCTGCGTGGATTGCTACAGTGTTCCAGGTCTCAGCTGGTCGAGGTTCCGGTCCAACTCCGAGTCGGGGTCAAGATGCAGCTCAGGATTCGGGTCTGGTTCTGGCTCTGGTTCTTCCTCCCCTTCAGCCAACACCCTTTTCCGGGTTGAGTTCCCTCCGCTGGAAATGACGTCAGCTGTTCTTCTTTTCTAAGGAAGAGGAAGAAGCAGTTAAACCACTGCCCCCTGCTGGACTGTCAAGAATCTGCAGCCTGACCCACGAGCATTTCAGGTCAGAATGCGTTACTTAAAAACACAACAAACTACAGAAACATTATATTTCAGTGGCAAAACAAAGAGAAGCCATAAAAACTCTAATCCACACCACGACACCTACTGTTCCAGTTATTAATCAAATCGGCTCCAGCCAGGTGGCTTTGTAGAACCGGGCGGTGTAGAACCGGCTGGTGTAGAACAAGCTGGTGTAGAACCGATTGGTGTAGAATCGACTGGTGTAGAACCGATTGGTGTAGAAACGATTGGTGTAGAATTGACTGGTGTAGAACCGATTGGTGTAGAACCGATTGGTGTAGAACCGATTGGTGTAGAATCGATTGGTGTAGAACCGTTTGGTGTAGAATCGATTGGTGTAGAACCGATTGGTGTAGAATCGATTGGTGTAGAACCGTTTGGTGTAGAATCGATTGGTGTAGAACCGGCTGGTGTAGAACCGATTGGTGTAGAACCGGCTGGTGTAGAACCGATTGGTGTAGAACCGGCTGGTGTAGAATCGATTGGTGTAGAATCGATTGGTGTAGAACCGGCTGGTGTAAAACCGATTGGTGTAGAACCGATTGGTGTAGAACCGATTGGAGTAGAAACCGGTTGGTGTAGAACCGATTGGTGTAGAACCGATTGGAGTAGAACCGGCTGGTGTAAAACCGATTGGTGTAGAACCGATTGGTGTAGAACCGGTTGGTGTAGAACCGATTGGAGTAGAACAAATTGGAGTAGAACCGATTGGTGTAGAACCGATTGGAGTAGAACCGGCTGGTGTAAAACCGATTGGTGTAGAACCGATTGGTGTAGAACCGATTGGAGTGGAACTGGCTGGTGTAGAACCGATTGGTGTAGAACCGATTGGTGTAGAACCGGTTGGTGTAGAACCGATTGGAGTAGAACCAATTGGAGTAGAACCGATTGGTGTAGAACCGATTGGAGTAGAACCGGCTGGTGTAAAACCGATTGGTGTAGAACCGATTGGTGTAGAACCGATTGGTGTAGAACCGATTGGAGTGGAACTGGCTGGTGTAGAACCGGGCGGTGTCTCTATCTTCCTAGTTTTAGTCAGAACTCCAGCAGCAGCGTTCTTTACCGTCGATGATGTGAAGACGCCACTGCAGATCCACATCTCGTTACGGTCGGTGATGGGTCGTGAACTGGTCCTTTAGCTGATAATGATCTGACATCCAGCAGAGAATTCAGTAACTCGGTGGCTCTAAGGTGCAAACCACTTCCACAAACACTACAATATTAACAAGCAGAAAGGGTGTGTCCCAGTGTGAGACCTGAGAAATAACTGATTGGACAAGAGGCCTGAATACGAACACGCTGAGTCCAACTTATGTCGCCGCCATTTTGAAAGTGGCAGTGGAGAAAACGTGCTGTGTGGACGAGTTTCAACGGTTTTACAGTTCAAAGTGGAGCCACTGCCTTTACCTTTCACTGGTAACATTAAAGATAATAACGATGTAAATTTAGGAGCAGAATGTTTGACTTTGTGGGCAGTGCTGCACATTTCTGTGGTGAAACAAACTAATAAACGACAAAAAAATAGTTCCTTTGTCACTAAATTGGCCCAGTTAACTACTCTGATTATTCTCTTAGCTAACTTTTTTATATACTGTGTTGTGTTTCTAAAGAGGGAGAGGCCAGAGCCGGCCAAGCTAAATCAGGTTTTGGGCCCCCTAGTTCTAACAATGTGGAGCCACTACAATCAGCCAGTGTTGTATAAAGTAGTGAAATCTCAGAGTCCAGTAAAAGTATCGGCACCGCTCCAAAATATGACTTTGGTCAAAGTAAAAGTCACTGATTGAAATGTTGCTTGAGTTAAAGTCTTAAAGTATCTGAAATGTTTTGTACTGAAGTATGAAGTTCGATCCATTTACTCGTTTTAACTCTGTAGCGCATCGCAACAACAGGCTGACCGGAAGTTATCAAGTGATAACTCCGCTTCAAAAGCCGTCGTCCGATCAGCCATTTCTCCAACTGGGATCTTTGTTCCTCTTCCGTTTTATTTTTGTAAATTGTTGAAGTGGTTTGCACCTCAGGGCCACCTGAACCGGCTGCTAGCCAGGTTAGCATCTATCCTCACCCTTCTCCCTAGTGGGGTCACCTGGAGGTCATCTGGACTAGAGGTCATCTAGTTCAACAGAGACAGACAGGATAAACAACCACACACACACTCACTCCGAGGGAGAATAATTTAGAGACCAATGAACCTGACAGTCATGCTTTTGGACCGTGGGAGGAAGCAGAGAGAACCGGAGAGAACCCACCATGCTGGCCATGGTGGGTTCTGGGTCTGGGCCTTCTGGGTAATGTAGTGTGGTGACCGTTCATGTGTCTCATGATGGCTCTGAGCCATGTAGAAAGCCTCAGGCTGGGAATTGAACCCATAACCTGCTTGCTGCAAGGCAGCCGCCACTGTACAGCTCTTATCATCCATCCATTTATCATCCATCCATTTATCATCCATCCATCATAATAACAGCAGACAGGAAGTTTCTGAGGGTTTTATATTCAGCAGAAATCAATAATCAATAATCAGTTCCTGAAAGGCTTCAGCTTTTTCTCCTGGATCTTCCAGATGTTTCTGTAAATTCTCTGAAATATTCTGGACAGGAAACCTTCATCATCATCATCATCATCATCATCAGCTGCAGCAGCTGGAGTCGTTTGTGTCCATCAGCAGGTTCATAGTGTTTACATCATGTGACCTCATCATCATCATCATCATCATCATGTTGACACTTACAAACTGGTTAATTAACTCTTATAGAAAAAACAGCCATGCTAACATGCTAATGGACAGCAGATGTGACCCATGCAGACCTCCCTCCCAGTCCTCCCAGTTCCTATCTCTAACTGGTTCCCCTCCCCAACCCGCTGCTGTATTAAAAACTTTTTGGCTTCACCTGAACCTGGAACAGATTTTGAAGCTAAATATTCAGACGTAACAAACAGAATAAAAGTTTCTAAAACTACTTCTGTTTAAATAAAGTTCCCACAGTCAGGCTGCAGCTCCAAAGGCCTTCTGGGTAATGTAGTGTGGTGACCGTTCATGTGTCTCATGATGGCTCTGAGCCAGGAAGAGAAATGTTTCTGCTTCCAGTGAAGGTCAGCAGGTCGGTACGCTCTGAGACCTGCTGACTCAGCGATCCTATCAGGCCAAATCGATTGTTATTTATTAATCAGTCTCTCGTTTTAATATCTGAAATCCTGCCAAGCAGCGTTTCCTGTTTTATCCACAGTTTCACTCCAGGTTCTTTTGCCCCTAACCCTCCCAGTAGCTCCCAGTAACCTGTACTGGTCTCCAGCTCCCAGCATGGCTGATCGCCTCAAGCGTTTTTTGAACCAGATTTTGAACTTTGGACTGAGACACACAAACTCCGCCCACTGGCCTTATGGCCTCCAATCAGAGCTGACCACAGCCTCTGTAAGCCCCCCTCTTAATAAGCCCCTCCCCCTCCAGCAGACATGATCAGTAAACAGTTGTCATGGTTACACTTCCTGTATCCAACAGAAAATTTTGGAAATGTTGAAGGAAAGAGTCCGACAGCGAGTGGATCTCTGGTGACATCACGGTGACATCATCACGGAGACATCATCACGGTGACGTCATGGCGGTGACATCACGGTGACATCACGGTGACGTCATGGCGGTGACATCACGGTGACATCACGCGGTGACATCACGGTGACGTCATGGCGGTGACATCATGGCGGTGACATCACGGTGACGTCATGGTCATGGCGGTGACATCACGGTGACGTCACGGCGGTGACGTCCAATGGGAGGTTAGCTCTCGCTCTCCTCTGGAATGTCCTGGAGGTCTGGGGGTCACAGAGCGGCGGTTACCATGGTGACAGTGAGACACACGGCGGGGACGGCGGTACTGACCTCTGGGACTGTCGGAGCGCGGCGAGATCTTCATCACTTCCTCCTCCTCCTCCTCCGGGCCCTCCTCCAGGCCATCTAATTGGTCGACGGGATCCTCGACGGCCAACGGGGCGACTGCGGGCGGCTCGGCCTCCGGCTTCCTGTCCACCTGCTGGGAGACACGGTGGACATCACGGCGGACATCAGGGTTGTTCGCCATCGTCGCGCCGCATCACCTGGCTGTCCGGACGCACCTGCTGGTCCTTGGAGGCGTCGCCCTTCCCTTTGTTCTTCTTCTTCTTCTTTCCAGACCCCGCCCCCTTCTTGCCGCCCTCCGCCTTCAGACGCAGCCGTGACAGTTCCTCCTGCAGCAGCTCCACCTGCCGCCGCAGCAGCACCGCCTCGCCGCTGGCGTCCAGCGCCGCGTCGCGCGACATCGACCGCACCAGGCGGGGGGCGGAGCCCGGGCCGGCCGGGTGGGCAACGCCCGCCGACAGCTCCAGGATTGAGTCCTGCCGGATCACCGCCGCCTGGGAGCGGAGCCAAACACACCCGTTACATCACTTCCTGCTTCAACAGGAAAGGCTTTGAGACTGGAGGAACGGACCTGCAGGCCGTGAAGCTGTGTGCTGAGCGCGACCAACCGCTGGCGCACTTCCTGTTGACAAAAGCGGGTCAGAACTGGGTCAGACCCAGAACCGGGCTCTGACGCTGAGCCGACTGAAAGCTGATTGGTCGAAGTGGAAACAGGAAGTAGAGGTTACCTCATTCAGGGTCCGTTCCTGCAGCTGGTTTCCGTTGCGGTCCTGAAACACAAAACCGGGTCAGAACCAGAACCTTCACAGTCACACTAACTGTGACGAACCGGGTCGAGCCCAGCTCTGGTCCGCCGCCTCCAGGCGACTCGCTGAAACAGAACCTTGTTGGATCGCCGCCCAGAACTGCAGAGCGACACCACCAACATCCCAACTGGGACCAGTCAGAACCTTCATCTAACCCTAACCTGAACCGGGCCTGAACCGGGCCTGAACCAGCTCACTCTAAGTAGAAGCTGCAGAGTTCTGGTGGAAGGAGTTTTACCTTGGAAGAGCTGTTGCTGATCTTAAAAGAACCGTTGACAGAAACTGAATCCCCATCTGAGACAGAAACAGGTGAGGGAGGGACAGGTGAGAGGAGGTCGGAACCATTCCAGGTAAACAGCAGAACCGGTGTGACTCACTGCTGATGTCCTGGTTGCCGTTGGTCATGGAGGATTTCTGATTTCCGGAGTCGGACAGCAGAGCCGCCAGTTTGTCGACTGAAACAAGAAACAGAGAAGAAAAGTCAGATTCAACCAGAACCAAACCGCTGAAAGCAGCTAAGCAGAGCTAAGCAGAGCTAAGCAGAGCCTCCTCACCTTCTCCAATGGCGGCCAGAAGGAGCGGTTCTGCTTTGGGAGCGTGCGGCGTGTCGGCTCTGAACAGGTTCCGGTTAGAGGACGAGGTCTTCGCCTCCACATGCCGTTCCTCTCCGTCTTCTCGCGCCGCGGCCTGGACCAGGTCGGAGAACAAGGTGACCCGCTCCTGCAGGAGCTCCAGAACCTCCTTGTCCTTCTGCTGGATGTCAGCTGTGGAGACAGGCGAGGAAGAGGAGGGACGGGGTGATATCAGGACCTGACTTCACTCAGGGTCAGAGGTCACCAGGAGCAGCATCAGTACCTCTGAGGCGGCGCTGTAAAGCTTTGTCTTCAGTCTCAATGAGGGGAAACTCGTCTCTGGAAGGACAGCTGCAAAAAAAACGTGATGAGTTTCACGAACCAGTTGGGCCACAGAACTGAAACTGGTTGACCGGGAGGCGCAGCGCTGACCTCTGGGCGGCCTTCTGGATGCAGCTCATCCACGTCTTCCGGTCGTCTTTGGACGAAGCGTACAGCTCGTACATCTCTGGGGGCGCCGAGTCGCTGATCAGGTACATCCCTTTTTCCTGATTGGCTACTTCTCTAACGATCAGCTTGGTCAGGGAAACCACAGGGGACTTGTCCTGAGACACAGGAGGACAGACAGGTGAAGAGACAGAGGACAGGTTTTTAAA